TTGGGCAGAACCTCCTCAATGGTCCTACGCACGAGTGCCTCAATCAGAACTTTTGGCTAGTCGGTGGCAACGTCCGATATCCGACCACCACTCTCATCATACCCAAGGCTCTCGCTTCCGATACAATAACTTTCTGAACTACTAAGGCAGGGATAGCCGAGTGGTTAAGAGGTTAGACTCATGTCTGCACCTCTGAAAACCGCGAGTTCGATCCCTGCCGAGGTTAACCATGCCTTGCAAAAATTGCAAAAATGGTTCTAGTACCAGCGTCAGGCCCAGGTTGACAGGCCGGCTGATGAAGACCCCAGTCACAACAAATATGTCTAAAGTCGAAAAAGAATCAGTGATAAAGCTAGGACGTCACCCGGAAGTGGCGCGCAGAACCCCCGCCCGAGTTCTGTGGTCAGTATGCGAGGGCTACCGAGGAGTGAACGGCCTCGGCCAAAGAAGCTAGTTCGAATTGGGACTCTGAACGTAGGATCGCTAACTGGGAAGTCCCGAGAGGTTGCTGATCTGATGACGCGCAGGAATATCCAAGTCCTATGCCTTCAGGAGACGCGATGGAAAGGTGCTAAGGCCAGGGAAATCGGGGAAGGTGTCAAGCTCTACTACAATGGAGAAGACACCAAGCGGAACGGTGTGGCCATAGCGGTAGCGGAGTCGCTCAAGGACTATGTCTCCGCTGTGAACAGGATCAGCGATCGGATCATGGCTGTGAGGATAGACACGAAGGAGGGGTACTGGACCATACTCTCCGTGTACGCACCGCAAGCCGGATGCCCCGAAAGTGATAAGGACGAGTTCTATCTGAGCCTTGACGATGCCATCAGATCGATTCCGGAAGGCGATTACCTGACCATAGCAGGTGATCTGAATGGTCACGTCGGCAGTGACAGAAGAGGCCTGGAAAGGGTGCACGGAGGTAGAGGATAGGAGTGAGGAACGAGGGAGAGAGGGTCCTGGACCTGGCTACAGCCCACGATCTGGCAATCTGCAGCACGTTCTTCGCGAAAAGGGAGACTCAAAGGTAACCTACAGCAGTGGAGGGAGACAGACGGAAATCGACCATGTGCTGGTAAGAAGATCATCCCTCAAAACTGTGAAGGATATCAAAGTACTTCCTGGCGAAGATCTGGCTCCCCAGCACAGGCCCCTCCTGGCAGACATTGCATAGACCTCCCCAAGAAGACAAGGGTAAGAACCGAGAGGAGAATTCGGTGGTGGAAGCTGCACCAATACAGCGGACTTGGAGCAACGCGGCTGGGCATCCTGCGATGTGCCAAGGAGGTGGGGAGACGCGAGGTGGATTCAGAGGAGACAAGGCAGCGTGGTTCTGGAACGAGGAGGTCCAGCGAGTCGTGAAGCAGAAGAAGGAAGCATACAAGCGCTGGCAGAAGACCCGGAGCCCCGAAGGACCTCGCTGCCTACAAGAGTTGCAAGAGGCTCGCTAAGGCTGCTGTCGCCAAGGCGAAGAACACGGAGATGGACGCCTTGTACGAGAAGTTGGAAAGCAGAAACGCAGAGAAGTTCGTCTTCAGGCTGGCTAAGGCCCGGCATCGTGCTACCCAAGACATCAGGGTGGTGAAAAGTGTAAAAGGCAGCGATGGTGTCATCCTAAGGAAGCCAGCCGAAGTCAAGAGGAGGTGGGAAGAGTACTACAGCGCACTACTGAGCGAGGAGATGGTCCCATCGCACTCTGGACTGAGGATGAGGTTATGTGCACTTGGGAGGATGAAGGTTGGAAAGGCGGTTGGCCCAGATGGGGTGCCAATCGAGGCATGGAAGGCGCTCGGAGAGTACGGCATAAGGTGGCTCACCAGCTTCCTGAACAAGGTAACAGTGGAAGGAAGATGCCGGATGCATGGAGGACAAGTACCATCGTCCCCATCTTCAAACAGAAGGGTGACGCGATGGACTGCTCCAACTACCGCGGGATCAAGTTGACTGCGCATACCATGAAGTTGTACGAGCGGCTGGTCGACTCGAAGCTGCGGGAGCTGGTCCCGATCTCCCAGGAACAGTTCGGGTTCACGGATGCCATCTTCATCGCCAGGCAAGTGATGGAAAAGTATCGAGAAAAGCCGACCCTGCTACCTAGCCTTCCTCGACCTGGAGAAGGCGTTCGACCGGCTACCGCGAGCAGTACTATGGAGATCGCTCAGGGAACGAAACGTGCCAGAACACCTGATCTCGCTGGTGAAGGACATGTACGAAGGAGCCATACGCACCCCTCACGGCCTAACGAAGGAGGTAAACATCACGGTTGGGGTGCACCAAGGGTCAGCTCTGAGCCCGTTCCTCTTCCTCCTAACACTAGATGTCCTGGTGAAGGGGCTCATGGAAGGACCACTGAAGACCATCCTCTACGCTGACGACATCGCCTTGATAGCGGACAGCAGAGAGGAACTTCACGACAAGTGTTTCGTTGGCATTCGCGCATCGGTGGGATTTGGGATGGTGCAAAAAAATTGGAAATGAACCAACAAGGAAAGGGATCGCGCGCTCTATTCAGAAGCTTTCATATGTTGAGAATTGAGAAAATGGGAACACGATATGCACCCAGGACCAGTATCGACGATGGCCATTTCAATGGTTGGAGTGGTGTGGTGTAGGGTGTTGTGTTGCACAAGCATACTAACCGTTGAAGCGGAGGACAGACGGCGATAGCTTGAGCGTACCGCTCCTCTGACCAGTACAAGAGCATGTTGCAGGGCAAGCACTGCTGCCCATAGTGTTCATGTACTCCGGCGCTTCCAGGACTGAGGTAAAGGACTGGAGAACAGATGGATGCCGACTTTATGCTGCATATAAAGAAGAATTGAAGAAACCCATCGAACTGATCCCTCGCCAACTATACAGAAGCTTGCATGGAGATACGAGCAACGATAAAAACTAGGAGCTTCTATGTGGAACAGGTAAGGCCATTCAGTGTGAAAAATGGATTTGGCATACCCTGAGCGAGGCGAGCAAGCAGTACATTTTGCCAATGTTGAAATCCTGTTGCACAAGTACAAAAGATGACTTCAATATTCTGTTGCACAACTACAAAAGATGACCTCATTGTTACGTCATTTCACAAAAGTATATTCCTCGACAGCAACATGAAAACACGACCGTGTCTGTCAGCTGATGGACAGCTGAGAGCGATTCAAAAGCGGCATCCATGGGAAAAAGTCATGCTAGTATATGATGAAACAGCATGCGTCAGCCAGTTACGACTGTACTCTACGCACATCACCTCGCCCGCGTTGATCAAGAGCTGCGCGGTCAAGGGGTGAAGTCGGCCAGTGTAAAACTATTGCATGATGACACATGATTACGTGTCGCTTAAACCACGCAACAAAAGAGGAGCTGAACTTAGACGTTCTGCCTCACACATCATATAGCCCAGATCTGGCGCCGTCCGACTGTCATTCATTCAGGTCAATACAGCACTTCCTAACAGGAAAAACTGCAACAACCGCGACGACGTCAAAACTTAAGTGTATAACTTCTTCGAGGCGAAACCGAAAGAATTCATCGTGAATCACCTGTTTGCGTAATAAATGGAAAAAGTCCACTGACACAAAGAGAATATGTTTTTGATTGATGTGCTTCGTTATTTTTTTATAACGAATAACGAAAATAATTGCTGGTTAAGAACGACACCTCAAGTTAGCCCACCTACTTTAATAGTACATATGCTTCGGAATTTAAAGAGCATGCCGAAATCGAGCTCTCTGCATCCCTCGAAGCCAGGGTCAGCCGCCGCGCCCGAGATCGCAATCATCGTTTTCGAAATATTTTGGCGCAGGTGATATATGTGTACGCAAGAGGGGCCACTAAGACGTCGTCTAAGGCAACCAGATCTTTGATTTCGTCACTTGTTCTCAGAAGCGACGTCTGGTACAGAGAATAATGGCAGTTTCACCTCCACAATGTTGGAATCTGAGTATTATTTAACCCCTTAGACTAGGCTACACACACATCTTGACAAGTGGACTTGTGATTAGAACATTACGTTCTCGTCCAAGGGTGTAGTTTTCCAACATTGTGGAAATCGACATAGGGATTTTTTTAGCAACAAGATTTCCTCATCAACTCACCTTGACTGAGACCTTAGAACGCTAACGGTAGGGTATGACATATGGGGTTCAACGGCTCTACGACCTAGAAATGTGAATACATAGTACATGGCGCCATTGAAAGAGGAGGTAGCAATGCATAACACAACGCTTACTCCAGTCACAAAATGCACATAGGAAACATGGACATAACAATCTTTTATTAATTTAGCTTAATTCTCACGTTTTCATGTACACATGGCCTCACTATTATAGTGATCACCTGACACTGGTATGTGCTGGATGACTTATATTTGAACGGTAAGGTAGCCAGCACAGCTCATCTCTAACGGAATCTTACATGACATATCACGTAGAAACAAGCACATCTACCTACAAAAACGGCGTGAGACTTCAGCGTCACTTATTCGAATATTCTCTGGCAAGCAACCGTAATTCATATCAAAATAGTTGAGCTGATTTTCAGTCTTAAATACACTAGGTGACAATTATACAATATAACAACATCAAAGCAATATCTATATTGTTATCTACACTAGGAACTAATGTTAATATAAACCTCTAAACGAAACAGAACAATCTACGATTCTACTTGAATTAATAATCTATTGAACAAAACGAAAATCTTTTCTTGGAAATGCGACACATTAAAGGTCAGAATATACGAACGCGAACTCGAAACCCTTATCACTGAACTGGCATGCAAGGAAGTAACTCGTTAACGTGAAATTCTGAGGCAGTCAAAACATTAGACGGCACAACATAGTGAGTCCGAAATTTTAAGCTAATAATTTGACAAAATGCAAACAAATGATGTAGAAGTTAGGAGCAAAAGGAAGGAGATAGTGAAACGTATAAAAACTAATTGAAACACAGTAGAGGTTTGGAAACAGAGGGTAATGAGTTGGCGACTCACACTAATAGGGGTCGTATCCGTCATATGTCACTGTCATCGTCCAGGTTGCCTCCACGCACTTTCAGTTCACGTACTGTAGCCTGAGCCATCGCACCCAGCAATACTTCTGGACATGATACGAACGTCACATTGTTGTTGTGGAAACGTGCGCATGTTTGGGTTACCTGTAACCTTTGCAATGATATCAGCTTGAAAAAAATCATCAAATGAATTTAATAAGGAACATGTATGGTGAGTAGTCGCACAAAACTACTATAAACAGATATAAACTGAGAACGCGAAGTACGCACCTTCTCCTGGAGCGCTTCATCTTTCGTCACCCAAATAGTGTAGACATTCGGTGGCGCAACCGATAAACATTCCTCAAGCATTGGGAGATCGGTATCAGAGTCACCGCAAACAAGTATATTACCTTAACAAGACATGATCAAGATGACTACAAACTCTTCGGCTGAAGCATTAAAAAAGAAACAACGGTAACGACGCAGCGACTTATCGACAACCAAACTGTCAGACTCACCATCCTGCAGTTGCATGCCCATCTTTCGCTCAATAAGACGAACACCGTGACCTTTGTTGAAAATTCGACCCGATAATTTAGCCTAAATATTGGTACTTCTTCAAATTCTTAACATAAAGTTGAATACACAACTGATCATTCACAAACCATTCTGCCGTACCTTAGTATAGATTTTTATATCATATTCATTCTCCCTGATCGTCAGAATTGCACCAGTAGGATCAACTTCATTGACAATTTTCGAAACTTCAACGAACCTGTAATGGTGAGCGTTTCGAGCTGAAGAACTTTCATCTTTTAGTAGCAACTTCATAAGAAGGAAAAGGGTACACTTACAGTTGCATGCTCTTTCTGGGCGGAATCGAATTATTCACGTCCTGCTTAGCAATTGTGATATGGCCATAATGCTTTTGTAGACCACTACCAACCCATGTGAGATTTCGGAATTCCGGTTTTTCCAGTAAATCCTCAACCTATACAACACAAATTCTGTACGAATGAAAACGAATACCTTTTGGCCAAATAGTACATCATTCACCTTTAAAAAACCTAGCAGGCGCTCAACAATGTTCATTATGAAAGCATTTTAGCTTCACACTTCCATAGAAAACTGCTGATGCAAAACGAATTACTTATGAGAAACGCTTCCGAATGAGAAAAAAACAAAGTGGGAAATATGAAGAAGCTGAGGCTTTTCATGCCTCTACCTCTGATCACTATGGCGATATGGACACCAAATGGGATGAGGTAGCACAAACCTTAGTTTCCGTCTCAACGTGGCTATAATAAACTACTTTTCGAACCATTTTTCAAAAAAGTTAAAAATTGAGAAAAGTTGCAAAGAAGGTATAGTTGGTTCCAAATTAGAGCTGGCTATAAGGGGTAGTAGAGTGAGTAGTGGTTGATATAGACGGTTAATCTCTTCCAAACTGATGCGCAGAATATGAGAGAAGCAGAAGGTGATCTTCGACCAATACAGAAAAATAAGGTCAAATTTGGGTAGCATAATTGCCGAGGCTGTCTATCTGTTCAAAGCTTTGTAACGTTACTAACACACCAGTTTGGGAGACTTTGGCTATAATTCCACCTCTTGAAAGAAGAACCAACAACTACCTTACAATCACTAAAAAAGAACAGACAAAAGGAAAAGAGGAACTCGACACTCACCATATCGAACGCTTTGTTGAGCAGCATGAGGTCAGCGTCGCTGACGCTGTCATCCTTGAACTGCATGGCTGGATTGAAGTACCATTCACGTCCAGCAGAGGCGCCGTAAGCGTAATACCCTTGAAGCATCCTTGTTACCAAAATTAGCATACATCGCGCGAACTGCGTGAAACCAACCTTCAGGCATCGTGCTCACATTGAGGATTCCGATATGTACAAGTGGAGCTGTAGTGACGATCGCGCAAAATTGGGCACAACGCCGAGCAAACTGAGCCTAAAAACCAATGGGTTTTCATAGACAACAAAACCGGGATCCAATAGAATCAAGTAATGCATTTAGAATGCTGAGAAATTCCCAGCCAGGACCTTTTCACAAATATTTCTGAGAAAGAACCATCCTAGGGATCAGAGATAAATCCATCCCATTTAGCGCTCAAAGTCAGAGCTCATGTTCATTTACATTATCTTGCTCAAAGAACACAGCAGCTGGGACTCAAAATAATCAACACTTCTCCTAAACTTACTCTCCACCTCGATTTCTTTTCTGATCGAAACGACGGAGGCGGCCCAAGCAGGGTCAACCGTCCGTTCGAACTGTTCGAACGAAGGGGTCGCATTTTGGTCGGAAGGGGGTCGCAATTTCGAGGACTGCCAGCCACAGGCGCGTGGCGTATCCGAGGGCAAGAATTGTTTGTGCAGACCGCATTAGATTCGATTTATTATGCACAGTTTTAGGCAAATTACGGTGTTTTCTTAAGGAATAAAGAACAGTTGGATGCATCCCTATGAAAGGTTTGACTTCTCGGGGCTGAAAACAAAGTTCTTTGGAGACCTATTTTTTGGGGACGCTTCTTCCAATGTACTGTGAAACATGTAAGGAAGCGGAAATCTCGTAGTCTTCACAAATGTCTTTATCCCTCTCCAACAAGCTCTTTGAAGGAAGTTATCATTGCTGAAAGCTCAAAAACTCGCATGTGCTGCTCAAAAACCCATGGGAAAAAATGTTCGAACGTGTGATTTTCTCGAAAAATGAACTTTGAAAAACGGTTTGGTGCTTGTTAGAAAGAGCAAATCCTGTACTTTCACCCCATGAAAAAAGTGCATCACAGAAATGAAAATGAAGTGAGTTATGCCCGCTGAAAGCCCAAAAACTCGCGATTTCAAAAAAAGTGTTCGGCAAAACCCCCCAAAATGTTCGAACGTGTGATTTTCTCGAAAAATGAACTTTGAAAAACGGTTTGGTGCTTGTTAGAAAGAGCAAATCCTGTACTTTCACCCCATGAAAAAAGTGCATCACAGAAATGAAAATGAAGTGAGTTATGGCCGCTGAAAGCCCAAAAACTCGCTTTTGCACGGAAAATGTTCGAACGGGACAATTTTTTGAAAAGGGGACAATCACTAAACTTTTTATACTGTTTTTGATAGAGAAATATTTGAAGTTCTGAAACTTTTTGACAGCTTTCCAAAAGGTCGCATACGAAAGATATTATGGGCCTTCAAAGTTGAAGGTGCGCCTTCTTAGAATTTTGGGTTTTCCACTTCTAACAGAAGTACTTTCCGGAGAGTTAGGCAATCCTTGTAGTTTTCTGAAAGCGCACCTCAGGCACAATCAAAATCTACCTCAACAAGTCAAAAAAGTACGTCCAAGAAAGTTATTCCCCTCTAAAATTTTTTCTTCGCCGCGTCCCGTTCTTCCAGCGCCCGGGTGATACCTGCCGCGCTCCAAGGCTGACGCCGCAACGCAGACGCTTTCTGGCGCAACGGATTCATGTCTAGCACTCTTATTAACAAAAACAGGGGGTCGCAACTGGACCCCTCGAGAGCTAGGGGGTCGCAAAAATCCCGAAAATGTTCGAACGTGACGGTTGACCCTGGGCCCAAGTGCTCGTACTCGGACTAGGTGGAGACATGGTTTCAGGAATCTGGCTGATTACTAGTCTCTCCAAAAGAAACTGTGGACCTACGACGGCCAACAACTTCCACCACAACGAGAAAAGGACCAAGCTGAGCAGGGAAGCATGCCTCCTGTAATCCCTCATGCACCTTAGAGTTCTGGTCTTGCCTTATCCGAGAAATGCTCATTTCGCTCCCACTTCCTATATGGAAAGAAACTTGAAACGAAGGAAGAGGGCAGGAAGGCACTCGCCGACTACTTCAATTCCCCAACTGCCGTCCTTCTCAGGAGAGAGAATATCGAAGAGCTGCATGAGCGTTAGCGTCAAACGGTAGGCGAGAAAGATACACATTTCCTTCCCTCATGTCGGTTCCTTACTAGAACATTTAGTAAAAGGGGAGAACTTTCCAGCAGACTAAAATTTCGAGTAATAGAACATTCGTGGTTACAAGTGTAGTCGAGTGAGCACGTAAATCGGCACCAACCTAACTCATTCACGTCTACACCCAGGCCATCTTTGTCTCAAATCGCGCTGGAATGATCTCGAACCAAACTCAGTATGTTCTTGGATTCGGGATTACGCTTGAGATTTTCATCACTCAAAGGAAATTACAGTGCTTATGGAGAAGGAGGGGTTAAGACAAACATATCATTGCAATTAGTCATAGTAACAAAAGTCATCTTAAAAAGAATACCTGGATAACAGCAGAGTATGCTGGCTGGACACTAGTTGGATATGAACATGAGTAACTCTTCAAGGTACCATCTCTTAAAAAAAAACGTTGCAAGAAATGCTTGAAATGTGCAGACGAGATGCTAGCTTAATCACACGTCCCGTGAATTTGAGACATCGGAACACAGAAGCCAAAGTACCTGTCTGTGAACAAATAATGGAAATGATCTCCGAGAGACAACAAAGCTGCAGCCTTCTCCACCTCAGCAGCAAATGCGGTTGGACCTGACGGATGGAATGAGCCGAGAGTCTAGAATTTATATACCCGTGGTTGCATTGGTTCCTAAGTGATACGTGAACATATACAAAACAAGTCCTAGGATTTTCAAAAAAAAACGAGCGATTTAAAATCAAATGAGGTTGTAACGGAAAGATGATATGCCGATATAGATGTTCGGAATAGAAAAGTCAAAGACCGCACCCGTTTCCATCAACGGAACTGCTAAGCAATCGTTATTTCTTATTTCGATCTAGACCCGTATCTTTATGAAAGAGGAAGCCCGGAGAAGACAAAAAGATTCCCTTCTGAAGGCCTCCAGTGAAGTTTCAATACGGTGATGTCGAACGTAGCATGAGTGTTAGTAGCAACGTCGTCATCTTCACTATGGGTAGTCGTCTCCAACACCAAAAGATTCGAGTCCGCCATACAACAATTCTCGAGAGAATTCTTCAAATAAAAAACAATTGACTCCCAAAAAATGAGAAACACATTCTTATTTGAATCACCTTGGCATTCTCAAGAGATAGAGCAAAATGTGGCCGAATGGGCATTCCTTTCAGAACCACCTCGACGATTTGACGTCGGATTTGCGCAGTCTGCGCCATTAGCAAGTAGAAATCGGCGATTTGTCGAATCTTGAAGTAGGAACTCAGGGAGATTGAACAGTACGAAAATGGCATAAAAACTGCAACTGACCTCAGTTGGTCGGATAACTTCGTGAGTCCAGCTGGGATCAAGAAAAGCTGTGCTCCATTCGTCAATATCATGACTTTTGAGGAATTGGTTGAGACGACCACCATGCTCCTGCCGAACTGCACCTTCTTCGGTAGCTGCGCGATAGAACACCTCGGCAAAGTTCTAAAACAGCAAAAATTAGGCCCTTCTACTCAACAATCTCTCGTAGCACATCGAACCTCGACATCAGCAATGTCATCTACACGATGATAGCACTTCTTGTCCTCTGAGTAAAATCCTGCATTTCCCAGTTGCACCTGAAATCGAATAACAGGTTGCCCGATGAGTGTGTTTGTCTCCAGATGAAATTTTTTTCAGTTTTAAGTCAGTCAGCTCATTTCATTCCTCGTTTTCTTCTTGTTCTCGTCATATATAATTTGAGAAAAGTAGTAGAAGTGAACTCAAGCTCATATGAGCAAAAAGTAGACGTCCCAGGCGAAAAACGAATTCAAAAGTGCTTTGACGTCCACCACAGAGAAAAATTGCAAAAAAAACTGCTTTCTCATGAACGGAATTATACCACTATACCCCCCCCCCCCCTGCACCGCCCTCCGAGCGAAACTGACACCCTACGCATTTCGATACTGCTGTGAAAGATCCCCTCCGTATCTTCGCGTTCTGCATATCACTACAGAATTGTACGTGTGAGATAAGCAGGCGAGGCGGCCTTGTCGCAATCGCTTCTTGTCGCCACTGGTTCAAAGAAAGGGCCGGCAGCGCAGCGTATCCGCTCAATTGTGATAGGGTCGAGTTTTATGCCTACGTCAACAGGTCAAGGTCAGTAGGCGAAAAAAACTCTACGGTGAGCGCGCACTCCACGAGAATGATCGAATTACTCCAAAGATCCCCCAAAAAGATGATGAAATCAATTAGACATGCTTTTCAGACTTAGTCACGACTTCTCCAAAACGAGATAGCGGTTAATTTTTGAGTTCTAGCGGAGAAACCAAATTTGAAAGAAGAGCGTCAACGAAGGATTATATAAACTGGTGTATTATCACTGATTCAACGATTTCTCCTTAAAGAGAAAAAATGTTGGAGCAGTGGCCCGAAGTGATTTGGACTTAAATTTGCGCCGATTAGACTTCCCATGTAGCAAGGTTTGAAATTTCAATATCTAGCAATGCAGTGTGAAAGAACGCAAGCATGGAACGGCAGTTTCAAGGATATCCTAAATAGAACGACTGCTTCGCACAACTAACTTCAGTTCCGGCTCCCGAGGAAAGCACAAGCGAGGCTGATGGATTGCACACCATCATTTCCTTTGCCACAAGGTTTCATGCCATCCTAAATTGATGTTTAGAGCAGGAGGTTTCATCAACAGTGAAAGGCTAACTCATTACCTTGGATGGAGTTACGACGCCGATGTCCATGGCAAGATAGTGAGCGATAAGACGGGTACGAGGCAGTCCAGTCAGTTTTTCAGCATCGCAAGTGCCTCTCTTTCGGGATGTGACTCACTTCGACAATAGTCTCGTTGAATGATGTGTTCGCAAAGGTCAGCAACGTGTGCTACAAACAAGAAAAGAATCCGGCAATATAAATAGTAGTCAAGTGCGAACTAGCTTATTTGTGTATATCGTGTACACAAGGGTATGGGTCTTTATTCGGCAAGCCAGTGGTCTTTTTGAAAGGTTCATTGCAATAGTAAATGTGAGGGACGCAAATGGAACATAAAACCTTTAGAATAAAGCTCTTCGGTTTTTCGCTGAATCGTTTCAGTAGTATACGAAAAAGTTGGTGAATGATACGCCTCGATGGGATCCCCGCGGCGAAAAACCGAAAAAAATTTTTGGGAATCGAATGTTTGGCGGCTACTATGCTTACAAGGTCTTTTGACGAGACTTGAGCATCTGATTTTGATCAAACTGAGCGCGATTTAGGCACCCACTATAAGGGGCCAACTCAAATGCAGCGCCCAAATTTAGTCGCCTATTGGGATATCGTAACCATGTCACACATACTTTTGTGGTGCTTCTTTTTGGTACTTAATTTGCCCTATAAGCGTTCAGCGAAAACGAATGACCAAAGATAAACATGGTTTTGTGCTCCCTGCATGGTTTACCTACAATAAAATCTGCACAGAATACTTTTTGATAAGAGCTGCGGCTTGCCATTCCCGAAGACCCTCCTTGTGAGACGCGGCTGATACCTAACATCATTTACCTGATATCTTTTGTACGATTCCACAGCGCGCCTGTTTGTGACCGCAATTTGGTAGAGCACATCTAGGCCTTTCCTCTCTGGATGCTTTTCAAAATACCTAGAAAGAGATCTACTATAGATTGCTACATTACGGACTTCACGGAATTTGAGACCATACCTTTTCCACGCTCTCAGCTTCTCCATAATACCCTTGGTGTAGTCAAACCTCTCGACAGAGAAAAAGAAGCAGCCTCCTTCACCGCTATTGGACAGTACCTGAGAAAAGCTGTGAATAACGAGAACGATATATGTGTTGTAGATGAATCTTCAGACATGATTGACTTGAAAAAAAAAAAACCAGGCATACTCCTACAGCACCCTGCACAAATAGTAGGGACCCACCCTAATTTTCCATCTTTGTCGTCCAGCGTCCCGGCCTGTTCTAAACTCTGATATTCGGGCCAGAAAGTGTGAGTACCACCAACGAATGCTGGGGAATGATGCAACTGTGCGCTGTGCGCGCGCAATATCACGGAGAAAGTTAACCAAAACGATTACGGTGCGCTATATACCTTGATTATGGTGCTACGTGTGGACTAGCGAGAGAATAGATATGAGGTTTTAGACAGTCGATATGTACCCGAAGCTATGAAGTGCACTGAGATTGGTCGCCTATCAACAGATGGTAATCGAAACTATCGGTTCTGCAAAAAGCGTGAGGCAAGTGTTCAGACTATATGAATAATCTTTAGCGCAAACGCGCGATTTGCTAGCGATTTGAGCAATTCAGGCAACGAACTGATGGGGTGACCCCCGTTCAGATAATTTGTAGATAGTTCATTACGGCCGCTGTAGAACCCGTTGTAACGTAGGCCGCGAAACGCGCTGAACTCGAAAGTAGCATCTCCGCTATGATTAGGCATGTGAAAAACTATGCGTATACACTAAATAGTCCACATCTCGCTTGATTTCCTGAGCTTCAATGGCGCACTGAGGTTCATTGGCAATTGACAGGAAGTCTTCGTTCTTGATCGATACGGGGAACACTCCCAATGAGCACGTCCAACCCTGCAAGCATTCAATGCATTACATAACTGCAAACAGCAATTTCAAAATTTCTGAAAAAAAACATAAAACTAACTTATATAGATTACCTCATAGGTAACGGTGAATATGTCGATTCTGTTGTCGAAATGCACTCTGGCTCGAGGGATGTACTCCCTCACCATCTGTACGTAACGCTCGCGATCGCGATGGGTTTGGAAACCAACCTTGAGTAAACTTCATAAGAATCAATTCAAATATCAATAGCTCAACTCAATAATCAATAACATTTTAACCGCCAATTGATAAGCCCGAATGCAAATACCGCACACGAAAAAACATGCAATTGTTGCGTTAAAATGAGGGGGGGCCAATATTCCGAACATAAACACTATATATCGAGTAAGCCCTGTTGACCTTATTAGAGTAATAGTATTCAACAAGCGTTACTCATTTCAGTTCTCTACTGACTTGGTTAGTTCCCCTACACTCCACCAGGGTCAACCCTATCGTTGTTACTATTCGAAAAATTTTTACGACCCCCCTCCCCCAAGGTGGATTTGGTACGACCCCCCTTCCGACACCTCGATCACCATATTCCTCTCTATAACACTAACTTCCACTACCACTCAACCCTCAAAACTCCGCCCACTTTTTCCTCCAAAAATGCCGTCGAGCGGGGGGGTATATACGCCGGCTGAAACGGCAAATTTTTATCTTGCGCGCCCTCTACTCGCACAACCTACTACCCACGAAATCTTAGTTTCTCCTCAATCCCACCCCTGATTTCGAGCAACTAAAGTGGGTACGACCCCCCCCCCCCCCCCCTCCCTTTACAAAAAAAAACTCACCAGGTACGACGCGCCCCGTTGTTAAACTCGTAACAACGAGTAGGGTTGACCTTGCCTCCATGCACGAATATTCAATGCAAACTTCCCACAATGTGCAAGAAATCAAATTACCTTTGTGAAACGCAGAATTCCACGTAAAATCGGATCAGCTACCACTTTATACTTCGTCATGAAATCTGCTGGCGGTTGAAATGGAATGTGAAGAAAGAATCCAACCTGGATAAGGAGAGGTTATGGAATCAATACGGCCCGCTTAACCGGGACAACTTACCTCAAGGTTACTGTCCAAACTGCGCATAATCTGACCAGTTAGCATGAGATGATAGTCATGGATCCAAATAAAATCTTGAGGACGGCTGTTACGTGCTGCGTTGATACCGAACTGGTAGTTCACACGTACATATGCACACCAATGTTCACGGAGTACCTAAAAAACAATATTGGTCCGAATAGCAATTAAGATAAAATTTCAGAAAACCACAAGAAAAAATGGGACAACTAGATCCTAAACCCACAGCAGGATCGTCATATTCCTTCACAATGAATTCCGAGAGATTGTGAAGTGCCGGCCATAGGAGACCGTTGCTTATTCCACCGTAATACGCATTATAATCCTCCTAAACACAAAAGCGAAAAACAATAATGACCACGCTTTCACAACAAGTGTCTAACAACCGGTCCTTTAACAACCACGTACCTGATCCACGAAAACAGGGTTAAGCTGATAGTTGGCTTTATTATAATCGTGCAGTACGGAGAGCAGAGACATATCTCTCCTGAGCAGAAAAATATTGAGCTCGATTTAAGCATTCCTTTCGACAAAAGTGATCGTGTAATAAAACATACTCTACGAGTTGCTCCTTGTCAGTGAGCTCCTGTTTCTTGTCATTTTCTTCAAGTACATGGAAAATTTCACCAGCCCTCGCCTGTTTGATCAGAGGCAAACCGAGAGAGTTTGTCGACGGTGGAGGAACATCCTGCGAAATCACTAACTTATCATCGCTTCTACTACACAAATGGACTTCTCTACATATGCTCTATCCAGAACAGTACATATGATACTCTGAACTAACTTGCGCATGCCCCTAAGACCGCACTTATAGCTTGCGGTCGTCCAATCAAGCCCATGGTCCGACCGCATAATCTTGTAGGGATGGGATACGTATCGATTGCCCAATTCGGCTCACCCGACTTTACTCGGATGTGGAACCAAACAATTGCCAACCGTAAATGGTTTGCATTCTTCGAAGCAAAACACGGGCTAGCAAATTAGGTGATTCATAACGGTTGTCGCATTCAAATTTCATCCTGGCGCAATTCGAAGAAAAAGAATAGCACAAAAGCGATGGAAAGCAAAGCGTATCCAAATACATACCGCTAAGTCATCATTTTCCTCTTTGTTGATGTTGATACCAAGGTTCGAAAGCCAAATATTTTCCTTATCTACAGACATCACTGGATCCACACAAGATACCAAGCCACCAGATCCTGAAAGCAACTCCTGCTATGAGATCAAATACTGCCCCTTCATCAGCCTTGTCCTAGACCGTAATTATGGCCATTTTGTAACGAATGCCATTTAAGGCCGCTTCTGATGTCGCTGTCCATGGACATTGCATTCACGAAATGTATCTCAGAGGAAACCCGGAGGTATCGAAGCAGCAAAAGAGACTTCGATAGTATCGAAAACCTTGAGCGAAATAACAAGACGAAAAGAATTTCATCGCACCTTGTTTAATTTCCCAGCATCCGCTACCCTTTCGCTGAATAGATACCGGCGGCGCATTCGACACATTGATCACTCTTTGCTGGAACACAAAGCGCAAAATACTCCAGGAATTGTGTTCAACGTTAAAAATAATTGGAAGAAGATCACATAAAATCGCGTGTTTCAAAGAAGAACGACAACATCCATCTGAGAAAACCAAATCACTCGATTTGAACGCACCTTGTGATGGGTAGTGTCTGTCAGACCTACGACTCCAGTTCCAGCCGACAGTCCCTCACTGGCTCCGTCAGACTGGCCATCTTCCACGACGTCGTTGTCAAGAGAAAGGAGATCTTCCATCGATCCATGTACAGACGACATACGCGAGTTTGCACGAGAACGAACCATCTAAGAAAAGTCTTCATTATAGTTTAACTGATGAAGCTATCACAAATTGGGTATTGCAATAATCATCAGTTCACTTCAAGTAAAAATAACTTATCATTTTTCATCGCACACGTTTGGAATGGTCTACGAGCGCAACTTACTACGCCGCTACGGTTGTGAGGAAAAGACGACAACGATGACTTCAGATGCACCTTCTAGTTATCTTCTGATTTACTTTGGATCTTCCTCAAACGGAAGCGACTTCTCGAAACCTCAAGCCTTACAAATAACTCTCTTCAGGTAGGGGGCCATGTCATACTTTGCAGTTTGGAGTGTGGAGGCGATACCTATGAGCAAAATCTGCGATAGCACGATCGCATGTGTAATCGAGACGTTCTACCCCACAAAAGGACAAGATCGCAAAATCGCACGGTCGCAAAGTATGACCCGACATTTGGAATGAAATTTTTGCATTGTAGGAGCAACGTGAACACGCACTTAACAATGGCGTAGTTATCTACACACAAATCGTTACGTCTCATTCTGCTGGCTTGTAATCTATGGAAGCCGACTGAACTATGCTCATACTATTTCCACTAACCCCACATAAAGTTAAAAGTTAAAAGCGCATTTCAGCTGAAATAGAGCTGCTTAATAACAAAGTGTGGTTAAAGTAATAATCCTGTTAAGTCAAATGTTTGAGATCCCTGTCAAGATTACAATTACTAAGGGTATTTCATGATTCACTCAAAACAAAACAAAAACAAAACTAAAGAGTGCACAACAAAAGAAATTCATGCGAATGCAAAAATTGTTTCTCTGAATGTCCAAATACCCACCTGAATATGTCGGTACTTCTCGCCGAATTTCTTCGCATGCACACCCAGCATGCTCTGACGTACTCCTGGTACAGCTGCATAGAGCTCGCTGAAAAAAATTGAGGTCAGCCAAGAAGCTCACCAAGTTCAGTATGGGTACTAACCGCAATCTATTTTTGCTATTGTTCACGTCATAAAGCGCCAACGAAAACAGAAGTGAATCGCGGAACTGTGTTCCAAACGACAGATCCGAATCGTAAACTAATGGGACAGCAATTTTCCAAAATGCAACCTGAAACATTCGCTGATTTTCTATTACAATTGGAATAAAATGAGAAATTTTTGGGTGACTAAATAATAACACCGCAAATGCGCAAGAAGGGGAACTCTGAAACCACTAATAAGTATAACGAGTACATGATCCTAAACAAAGGAGTTATGATCAATAAGTATGTCACTCACCGAATTAAAGCCTAGCTGGCTGACGAGATTACCAAAAACATTATCTAGATTGTTCGGTTGCGAAAGGCACAGTTCCAAAATCATCATCATGCCCTGAAAACGTAAAACCAGTGTGCAAATACATGATTACATAAAATGAGCATTCTGAAAACCTACTTTCAAAGCAATCTCCGAATTCTGCTGGCGTAATTTCCATTCAGCACAGCATGCATTCGTTGCGAATATAAGAAAATCATCTTCTCCGGATTCCGGCACCTTCACGTTGATCCGAGATAGAATCCGCGCACAGCCCTGAATACGTCTTTTTGACATCAAAAAACCGATCATCGAAAATTTGCAAAGATAAGACATAGTGCAATTTTTCGAGACAAACGAAAACCAGTCTGAGGAACTCGCTCCGAAACTACATCCTCCTAAAACTACGGAATAGTATAGGGCACGTCATTAATATGGTAACAAACTGTAACTCAGAAAATACAGTTCAAATCTAAGCATGATGACTTGGCGAACGAAACATGATGAAACTCCGAAATTTTTCACTTTGCATCATAACAGAAGAATGGCTGCAAAATCGTTAGATACGCTCCTCCGGCGCGAAGTTACAGGATTATTTGGGATGCTCTCGGGGACACGCAGATCCCAACATATTTTGCGGATGAACAACTGCAGCCACAAAACTGATGAGGAATACAACAGTGTTAGAATTGTGAAGCCTATGTTTTGAAACGCACTACAGATGAGAATTTGGACTATTCGCTGAAGGGCGCATTCATAGTCGGTCGTCCGACGATCGTAATGATAGCACAGACGATCGATACGTGTCTAACGGGTGCGATCGTTACCATTGGACGGCCGACTATAATGAGCCCTGACAGAGCCTGAATCAAAATTCCCGAGTGCGTCTGCAGTTGAAGCCTACCGTCAGCGTCTACAAGCAGTAAATCATGTTTTAAACAAGTACATCTAAGGATCTTACCGCTACGCCGCCGCTAAGATGCAAAGTGAATATTTTAGAGCTATACCATGTTTCGATCAGAATTGCGCTTTCTGGGCTTGTTACAAAAGGATGACGAAACGGCACAAGAATTCTCATTTCCGTCCAAATTTTTTGTGCTGAAAGAAATACGACAGGGCTGCTGATGTTAACAAGAAGAATGCAAATATCGTTAAGTTCATTTTATTGATACAGCAGCGGTCAAGTATTCGTCGAAACGGTATCCCATGCATTACATTTCTTCGTTCAGGAAAAAAAAAACTGAAAGATCGGCTGAAGGTCTTTCTCTTCATTCATTCATAAATCCTTAGGTCTTAAGAACTGATAAATAGTAAAAGACATAACATAGCATAATCATAACCACAGCAGTATGCGAAAAAATCGGTCAAGTGAGGAAAGAAAACCCGTTACGACGAACGCTTTTGACCGTTAGCGTATCTAGATGGTGGGGTCTTCATTGTCAGCGAACCACGGCTGTCTAATAGTCTCCAAGTTAGCAAGAAAGTCTTGGTTGGTAAGTGTTCGTTATTTTAGTCTCCTCTATGATAACAGAACGGTATGACGCATGCGGCTCATTAATCTTTGATGGTTTAATGGGAGCGACAATATCTCCGGTTTTTGATCGTCAACGATGTTGTTGTTGCGGGTGAGTTTACGCTGATCAAGATTCTGCTGGGTACACAGCGCGCAAAGCGTATCTCCCGCAAAATAATGCGGTGCTAAAGGAGCTAAAACGGTCCAGAGCTGTATCCATGCGCCTAAACCTGTGACTAATATTACACTAACATGTAAACAAAATCATTCCACCCCACCAACGAAAAGAAATTAACTACATCTTGCAGTCCATCATATTGACAAGTATCGTAATGGTGATACTTTGAGGGAGAGAACTCAACAATCAGCGAACAAATTTCGCACACAAGCGCGGATCGAAGGCAATGAAAATGAGTGTATGAAACTCCCTAGGTGCGTTTGCGGCGGCCTTACACTTCGTCTGCATCGGCCGCAGCAGACACAGGTACTGCATAGGTACAGGTATCTATTCCACACTCAGAATGCAACACGGTCGCAGTGGCCGATGTCAGACTTTGCGATTGGAGCGATTTTGCACCAATTGCAGGAGCGACGGATCGCTTGAGCGATGCGAGCGACGGGAGATTTACACCGCCGACCACCGATAATTCGGCGCCATCAGTTCGTAAATCTCCCGTCGCTCAAGCGATCCGTCGCTCCTGCAATTGGTGCAAAATCGCTCCAATCGCAAAGTCTGACATCGGCCAGTATGATTGCACTTTTAGAAGGGATGCGTATAAGGAAGAAGTCCACACTTAGCTATTAAGCATCATGGATGGAAGACTCTCAAGAAATAAGAGCCGTCGCAAGAAAGAATTGCTTGTGTCGTTCTGAATGCGTAAAGTGCTCAATACATAACATTGGAACATCACTACGCATGAGGACATTGACCGAACAAGTAGGTGTTCCACCTCAAAAAAAAATTGAAAAAAAAAGCAAACACACCTCTTTCACTCGCTCTACAGCGTCAATGTCACCACGTTGTGGTCGCTGAAACGGTTGATCCAACACAGGAGAGGACGACCTAGCTTCAGTATCTACTCCCATTCCTCCTGAAACACGACAAGTTTTCCTACGGGACAATTTTCGTCTAAGCAAAAAAGGAACGACAACAAAAATATCACAAATTCTCGAAAACAAATCCAGTTGTCTACATCGAAAGAAAGAAATGATTGAACAGTGGCCGATGTCAGACTTTGCGATTGGAGCGATTTTGCACCAATTGCAGGAGCGACGGATCGCTCAAGCGATGCGAGCGACGGGAGATTTACCCGCCGCATCGCTTGAGCGATCCGTCGCTCCTGCAATTGGTGCAAAATCGCAAAGTCTGACATCGGCCATTAAGAGATGAAGTGATCAAAATGACAAAAAAATAAGGCTACATTCAAAAAACAACGAGAGTGAAGAAAAGAAAATCGAGTTTTGTGCCTAATACGATAAGTGGGAAGTATGAGCGCATAAACAAATTCAGATTTTGACCCCAGATTGAACTTTACGTCAAAACATATTTCACTGTATTGCGCGCACTGACATTTGCAGATTTGGTCCAAATGTGTACGTGTTTCATAAGCAGGTTATCCTAAATAGAATACTGAATTACCTTCCCGAAGCACAACAGGTAAGGTAACTTGAGAATAACAAAATGAAAGTAACTACCTTGAGAATAACAAAATGAGAGTAACATCTATGGAAGGAAGAAGAAAAATCTAGGCACTACTCACCCAAGGATAGGATATCTATCAATTGAGTGATTGCAGAATCAATACGTACCTCCTTATGCAACTGCAAGATGAACTGTTTGAATTTGATACGATGTTTGAACTTCTATCCAAAATTTTCGACGTCATTAATGAACGCTACCGACAGTAAATATTTGCTCTCGCACATAAAAAGGTGCTAAAACAAATTGTGCTACCAAAAACGTTTCGCATGGCAATGATAAGAAAGTAAACAAGTAGCACCCAGCTACCATCAACATCAAAGATCACTCATAACAAAACAGGGTTATTGAGAAATAGAGAAGAGCGTAATTAATTTCAGGTGAAATATCGAATCAAAAGCAAACTATATATCCATGTTCCATTTTTTATGTTGATCACTTTAATCACAGCAAGTGGAGAACTTACCGCTACGTCTTTCTAATCGAGCGAAAAATTTACCCTAACGATGAGCGCTTAGCTTTTGCTAGAAAGTTCTTATTTACTATGTTCACAAGCACTAAGAGAAGGCAGCATACAAAAAGCTTCATTTGATTATATACAAAAAAACGTAGACATTAAGCCATTTCAAAAAAGGAAGATGAGGCGTAAGATTAAGGAAAAGTTTCCGATGGAAGCGCATATTGACAAAATTCATAGTGTAGAGATATTTAGCACGAAATGCCTTTTGCAAATTGTGTAAATAACAATTGAGTGACCAGTATTTGCAAAATTCCATGGAATTTGCAGATAATAAGGGATTAAACCACACTCGAGAATGGAGCAGAACACAATGCGGAAAGCATTGTAAGAATAGCCTCTGAAAAACACCGATGTTTACCGCTACGGAGATAAGAAGATCAACAATCAATGACAGAGACACTTTTACGAAAATGAAGAAGAAAAGGAGATTGTTGCACTGATAATAAAATGCAAAAGAACCAAAGATTTCATGAATACAAACTTATGGTCGCCATAAAAAATATTTTAACTAATTACATTTATTTATCTATTTAATCCAATTTATTCAGTGGAGATTGAGATACTGCAACTCTACAATGAGCACCTTGAAAAAAAAGAAAGGAAACAAGCCGTAAAAAACCTCAAAGGTATAAATATAGCAGGGAAGGCTATTAGAGCATGAATGAAGCTTTCGATCCACTCCTGCATACAGCAGTGACCGGATCGGTTTTGGAGGTGCGACGCGGCCGCGCAGCAGTCTAGCTGACCAAACAACACTCATCGCATAGATCTTTGGTCACCACCGGGATGCGGTTCTACGACAAGTGAGCATTTCCTACTCATTCACGTGACAACGTGAATATCACGTGATCAGCAGGCTGGTCTTTGTGCATGCTGAAGGAAATGTCCAGCGGAAACTTCCTCTTTGGAAAGAATAACCTGTTTTCTGATAATGTGAAAGAAGGTGCTGACCAGAAACAAGGATGAACAGTCGACAATGTACCCGTACCAGAGAACAGAACACTTCCCTGAGTGACGTTGCAGACGAGTTCGTCGACTAGGAAAACGTCGTGCGGTTGCGCCGCGGCCATTGCCATTAGGGCGCGCCATTGGGGAAGCGTGCTGCACAGCCAGCTGTGAACAAGTATCAAGAACCTCTGTAAACTTGCTTATCACGTGCCTGGAGTCAACTTGAAATTTGAAAGCAAACATCAAAATAGGGCGTTCATGTCGTTAGAGGGAGATTGAAGTGAGTGAGCCTTTTACAGAACTTGGGATTGAGCCTTAGGGAGGGAAAGGGATTCTGGAGGAGGACGTGAGCAACCTTTGTTCTCCCTGGCGTTTCTCTCCTGGGCATAATGCTAGTGTTACCTACCAGCGGTGTTTAGTTTGCCCTGTCTGATACCCTCCCCCCTAACAAGGAAGGTCTTTCAGGGTGTGCCAAGCTTTTTCAAAACGGTCTTTTGCATGATATAGAGGCACATGCGGGAACCACAGAACCATGGTTAATTTTTCCTGAACGGCCCTCTGAATACCAGAAAAGGGGGTCCCTAGTCACACCTTTTTCACCAGTTTTTCAATCAAAGTCTATTTGTAAGGGTTACTGACGTTCCTAATCATGAATTTGGTACTAATTATTCATGCTAACTCCATTTTGCGCGAATTTGGAAACGTCAACTCGAAATGCAAAAACTTGTCACCACGAGGAATCGAACTAGGGACCCCTTTTCTGGTATTCAGAGCCGTTCAGGAAAAATGAACCATGCTTCTGTGGTCCCCATATGTGCCCCAATGTCATGCAAGAAACCATTTTGAAAAAGCTTGGCACACCCTGAACGACCTCCCTTGTAAGAGGACACCGAGGCACTCCAAAATAGTTCGTCTGCTATAACTTTCGAGCTAACATGTCGAGTGATAACATCAATGTATGATTTCCTCACTCATAAGTGGGGCGCTGACCCGAGACGCGTACATGTGTTGCGTGAACAGTCATAAAGGATTACGGTGCTAACCTGCTTCGTTTTGAATAGCGCCAAAGCACTATGCATCAATCATGACCAGTGCCTACGTCAACTTCAGGGCGGGGGGGGAGCAGTCGCTGCCCGTGATCGTATTGTCCGCTGCTTTTCCTCTGCAAACAGAACATCCACGACATCAAGGAATGTAGGCAGTTAACGGGCTAGAGTGGGGGGATGAGTCACTTGACGTGTGTGTAAGGCTGGAATGCGGGAATCTGCGTGTTTACGCTACTTTGCCAAGAGCGCAGACATGCCGCGCATGTCGCTCCCCCACTTCGTATAACTTCGTAGCCTGCGTGTTCGCTCCCCGGGATAGATTTCACTAATCGCGCGAATGGTAGGAGGCGAGTGCAGAATAGCGGGGGCTCGCTTGAGACGCGCTGCTCACCAGCGCATTAAGACGCCCACTCACGATTCGTGATCGCAGAATCGCCCGCACCAGCATCCACTCACGACTGCGAAGTCGCATAGCATTCGCGAAGTCTGCCCTACCGGCTTGTGAACGTCCATTCCCATAGGTGGATTTCTAGCCCTTACAGTCAACAATAAACAAGTAAATTCCAAGTCTTCTCATCTAGAGTCTGGCCCTTTAATAAGCCACCTTTCCAATCAGTGTTTTTTTTTCTCAGAGGAAATCAAGTTATTCAAATAAGAAGCACCAAAACAAAAATGACTTGAGGAATGCATAATCTTCTTCCAAGACTCCGACCAGTGCTCACACATGACGAGACTATAACTAAATAAATTCATATGTAGGGTCGACGTCCCATAAGTTTAATGAAAAAAAACCTTGAAGCTTTTCCAAATCTTCGAAATAGTTTCCACCCCCTCAATAAGTCCCACTCCCGATCCTCCAGTGGGAAGCGACCGATTCCACCTAACGCGATAATCCCGTCCTATCGGAAGCCAAATACGATCCCTCCTCGGGAAATCCTTAAAATCCTCGACATTGTCTAAATTTGAGTTGTACAAAGCAAAGACAGAACACTATTAGGGGTTGAGAGAAGAACAATGAAATTGTGCTCCGTGTCAAAGCAAAGTCAAAAGGAGTCGCAAAAAGCAGCAGTGCTAAAGTACTATAATGATGGTAGCCAATCACTAAACCTTAGGAAATCGATTTGTGATGTTGTCAATAATGATATTTGTGAAATATTGTGACGATGTTAAAAACCTTGTCCCATGCTCTATTACACTTTTCCATTACCGCTTGCACGTTTGGAGGAAGTTGCGATGATTCATTCCTTGTAAACATTACCATGACAGTCACCTGCACAAACAGAACCAAAAAACAGCGCAATTTCAAATGTTCTCTGCAACCGACTTCCAAATTATTGAACAATTGATTTCAATCCAAAGAGAAGAGTAAAGAAAACTACAAAAAAGCACGATAATTGCACATCATGGACGCAGCTTCTGTTTGTTACAATTACGGTCAAGTTTGTGCCTACCGCATCACACATCTTAAAGGACGAATTCACGATGAAAAAGCAACCCATTTCAAATTAACCTAGGGATGGTGAGTGGTACACGAAAGAAGGAAGAACCATGAGAAACGGCCCAGAACCCGAGAAATGGGACCCCTTCCTTGCCCGTTGATTTGAGCATTGATGCGACTCTCATCGCTGTGCCCTCTTCAACACTACGCTCTCTCAGCTATCTAATCACTCGCCACGTATTGAACTACGGCGAGTGATCAGATGATCGGTGGGCGGAGATCGCCGGACCCGCCAGCTTTGAGGCATGATAGGTCGCCGAGGTCAAATTTTTCCATGCGAATTGCGCGTCAGTTCGCACCCTCAGGAGGTCCGTGGGTCCCTCAACTAGGTCAGTTTCCCTTTCTTCGACCTTCATTCTAATCGTGAATTCCTCCTTTAAAGGCAAGAATCAGGATTAATTGATGGGTGATTCCACTCAAATGTGAAAGTAGGGATGGGAGGTGGACCGCCAGTGGAGAAAAGGAAAGAAAATCCTGAAATACACAGGAAATACGAGCATTTTGCTCTATGCTGTGGAGAAGTTCAAAAGACAGGCAGGGAGATGAGAGATAATGTGAGCGCGGAGAGCGGTAGAGGCGACGCAGACAAGATATCGAACGGTGGGCGGACCATGTTAAGTTTGGTGGAGTCTGTTAGAAGTCCATGGCGCCTAGGGTCCTAGTGACGCGTTTCGATGTAGAAAGGTGGCGCTACCTTTGCACTTGCGTGCCCAGCACTTCTAGCCATGGTAAGGGCTTCTTAGGTGGTTCGTCTGAGCCCGAACTTTGCCTTCAAAGGCAGTGTACAAAACAATTAATGTTGAAAAATATGAAGGTGGATGTGTCGAGGGTTGCAGCAGTGAACTATAAAAAGAAAAAAAAAAACACGCCAGAGGCTGAAAAAATGGACTTCTTTTTTCGCTCGTTAATTTTGGACAAGTTACGGCTGAGACGAACACCGTTTGGAAGAGGGTGTCTTTCATGGCACTACACGACAGGAGTAGGAGAAAGGGGTATTCGGGAAAATGCACATTTGATACGAAAAAGCAAAGGATAATATAAACCGTACTCGAAGCCAAGAGTTACAACAGGAGGTAGGGTTAAATTAGGAGGCGAAACTGATTTTGAATTCAAAGCTAACGGATGCTAACATAGTTGGGGAGGAGGGGGGGGAGGGGATGGAGCAGTCGTGGCCGCGGCGAGCGGAATATTCGCGTCCTGTAAAACGAAGAATCGGCGAACCAATGAATGTTAGATAGTTCAGGGGGCAGGGGTCGGGCGGGTCACTTGACAGCGTGGAAAGCTGTAATTTCGTGATTACGAGAAACAAGAGAAACAAATAAATGAGTTATAGTGACGAAATAAGTGACTGAATTC